ATTTTCCTAAAGCAAATAAAATAAATAATTCACACAACATTAAGAATCTCATTTAGCACACTTATCGAGAATTTTTATTTTGCATGCTATTGAACTCACCATTATTCCATACATACCTAGAGAATTATTTTGATTGATAATAGGTTATGTTTTCAAAAATAGTAACACAACAAGTTTTATGTAGCCTAGACACAAAAATATAATGATACATAAGGCATTAAAATTGCTCACCGAAAACCCATTTTCCTACAGATTACTGCTGCATTTGCTTCATCCCATGAGTCGTCACAGACTGTTCCCTTTAGTCCATTTCTGATAACTTCTAATCTGCCCTCCCTACGTGAGCTGCCATTTACTAATCTATACAATACACCTAAATTATAGAAATAGAAACAATAAATAAAGTTAAGTTAAAATTCAATTTTTTCAAATGTTTATAATTTTGTTTCTTTAAATTCGTAATGAACTTTAAGAGTTTTTTCTCATAGTTTATTTTAAACCCTATTAATACACTTTTTCAGTACATTTATTGGCATAATACTAAACATTATAATAATGCCACATACCTACTTTTTGTGTCAGAAAAACTTTGTAAGCTTTTTTAAAAAAAAACAAGTTTATCTGTTTCTAACTTTTCAAAAGTATGAATCTTAATGTCAGCCACATATGTAAAAAAAATATGGTTTAAATTAAGCACATTTTTATAAACTTCACAACATAAAATGATATTTAAAAAAAAAAAAAACATAATAAATTATAATTTTTATTATGGTACCTTTTTTTGTTTTAAGAGAGTAATTTTCACATTTTAAACAGCTTTACTCACATTATACTTTAGGGCAGAATATAAAATAAAACTTTTATTTTTTGTTGAGGAGAAATCTACTTACTGTTGCAAGAAAGTTCATCTGAATTGTCTGCACAATCATTTTTTCGGTCACATACAACTTCAGCTTTAACACAAAATTTATTTTTGCATTTAAATTTCTCTGGGGGACAAGCTGGAAATATATATAAGAGAAACGACTAAGTATCCTGTGAAAATTCAAAATTTTAATGTAACTAATGACTGGGTAGATTTCTATTTAAAAAGTGTGTATACCACATTTTGCTTGCAGACAGAAGTCATGCCTCATAATTGTGATGAAATGAAGCTGACCTTAAAAGTTCAATGTACTCACAACGACAACCTTCTTTGAACACTCCACCCACTTTTTGAATTCAGGAAGAATTATTCCTTGTTGATTGCTGTTCCCCGTGTGATATTTTGACCAGCGGATGGAACTACGCAGAAGAAACGGCAAAGCCCCCCCCCCTCCCCCGCCCCCATGTCGCCACGGATGAGCGATTATTGAAATGTTATTACGCATCCGAATATTAAGTTCATTGGACTCAGATATCACATGGCAGTGATTAAGCCAAAGAGCAATTAGGATAAACTAACTTATATATAACGTCGTAAGAGTTAGAAGCTTCCTTGTTAGATTAGATCGACACCTAAGTTAGCACAGTCGACTTATCAGGGAACCTTGAAGCCTAAGTTAGCACAGTCAACTTATCAGTGTACCTTGAATCCAGCTTTTCTAACACCTAGTGAGTTGGAATTTCATTTCTTTTATTCGAATGCATTGTATTACATGTATATAATTTGATTAAACATTTAATTTAATGCCTCATAATTGTGATGAAATGAAGCTGACCTTAAAAGCACAACCCCCTTAGCACAGCCCTGGATAATAATCATCTTTAAATTTTAATCAGTTTATATAATACATTTTAAACTATGGTAAATATATGAAGCAAATGACAATGTCTTCAGTGGGTCACTCAGAACAAGTGTGTGGCTCCTTATCAAATGAAACTTTGTCAGGGCATACTCTGAAGAAAAATATACAGAGCATAATTTGAGGCAATGAGTTGATTGGAGAAAAATGATTCTTAATTTCAGCTACTTCCCAAGGAGAGAAACAGATCTGTTTACTCTTACGATTTTGGCGTACAATGTACGATTTTGAAGTGTATGCATTATATACACTGTGTATTTTTTTTACTATTAAGATAATGTGTTAAACGATTTTGTGGTGATATTGTACGATTTTAAGAGTTTCGGGGTAAACAGGTCTGGAGAAATACACAGTTACAGTTTCACTATTCAGAGGATTACAAAAAAAAAATGTATAAATGTTTCATTTTCATAACATAGAAATTATATCCTAAAGCAACAATTTCCAGACTTCAGAGGTGGTAGAGGGTGGGGTATTGGGCGACGCAAAAACTGCTAAGGATTTCCTTATCCATCTAAATAGGAGATAACTAAAAGATATTAATTTAATTCTAATTCAAGGTTGGATGGAAAAAGAATTATCAAGTATGCATATAAAACCTAATAGTCATATTTGGTGTCTCCTAATAATAGGAATAACATGTTGAAATATATCCCTATCTTAGGGGTCGTTCGCAAATTATATCAAGCTCAGAAAGATAAAATCTAAAATTTTTAATTTTGAAAAATCTTTATTCAATTAATTTTAAAATCATTAATTTGAGGTCAAAATTTCCTCAGGTATAATAAGTACAGTGAAACTCAGTTGCACACACCTTCTGTCCATATCAAAAAATGACACAAAAACTGTTGTGGCCACTTTTCATTTGGCTCGGGGAGGACTTCGTTGTTTTGCATTTTACGTCACAGTTTTCTAATAATACTACATCTTAATCCATTACGGGAAAATGTTAAAGAATAAAATAAATCATAGTTTAGTTATGAAAGTTTTATGTAGTTTTAATTTTTTTTAGATGTGATGTGACACTGGGGGGTTAACAATTTGTGACCGGGGGGGGGGGTGGTCTGAATAGGTCATTTTTTGCGTGACATAATTTGGGAATGACCCGTTTAATAAATTTTTCAATTTTATATCATAGTTTAGTTATGAAAGTTTTATGTAGTTTTAATTTTTTTTAGATGTGATGTGACACTGGGGGGTTAACAATTTGTGACCGGGGGGGGGGGTTGTCTGAATAGGTCATTTTTTGCGTGACATAATTTGGGAATGACCCGTTTAATAAATTTTTCAATTTTAATGTATTGATGTTCTTCTAGAATATAGAAATTTAAGAAATAAAATTCACTGATTAAAAATAGTGTCAATCCCTATTTATCAATTAGAGACTCATCCATACCACAGTCTTGTTCATCTTCCCCAGAAGTACAGTCAATACTATAGTCACATCGAAAAGCTCCTGGGATACATCTGGAAGTAACATTGAGCAATGAATCAGTGAAAAAGAGTCAGAAATCAGTCATTAAGAAACTGAAATAATTCTAAGGTTTATATATTAACATATCCACTTCCACATAATTTTTTTTCAAAATTTAAATCTCACATTTTTTGTTCCACACAGTAGAATTCATCTTTGGGGCAGTTAAGTAAAGGAGAACCAACATCTAAAACAAATGGAAGATATAAATAAAATGATTCATGATATTTTCAAATATTTAGTTTATTATACTCTGATAGAAAGAAAGAAAATTGTCACCAATTTATATTTGCCCCAAAGTGCTTGTTTTTAATGACATGTAACAATATCATTAGGAGTTCTGTGGAAAACTCCAATCTTTGTTTCCAGATACATTTATGCAAGCATAAACTTGTTAATTAACCATCTCAATGTAAATTTGTGACAAATACTTTAATTTAACGAAGATATATGCCGGATTCAGTAAAATTCTACTTAAAATTGTAACCTGAAACTGATTAATATCAAAATACTTGAAGCTGGACTGATCATGTCCCCTGGGTCACTAATAAGTACAGTTTTAACATATCATGACATAAGATGTATGCAAGTCTTGTCAATAGTAAAATATTGTTGTTTGTCATTTGTTTAAAAAACTATCTCTTTTGCTTTTTTGCTTAGGCATTAACAGTTCAACTTTCTTACTTATGAAAGGCACTGTTCCTGTGGTCTGTACAATATCTGAACATTTCTGTAAGTTGCAGAAGCGAAAGTAGTTTTTATCATGATTGATCCAACACCAAGGTCTGCTGTCACCATCAGGATTTCGACAGTAATTATGATACCCAAGGCCCTATAAAAGGGAGGAATTCTTAGTTTTGGGCCTTCAATTATCAAAGAACTACTGTGATTATAATGGGTTTTAATTCTGACTCATCTATTATACTAATTGTAGCAAAGCACACTTAGAACATAGGGGAAAAAAACGTGAATTCTAAGGATTATTATAAGTTCTGATTTTCTTATCTGTTTTTTTTTTATTGTTGTGTTTGCTGACAAAGGCCTTCAGACGAAACATTCTTGTGATTGACCTAGATTATAATTCAAGCTATCGAATATCATGTTTCTTACCATTTCATACACATAAGCTGTCTCTATAATAAATATTGATAATTTCAACAATCTGTTACTCATAAATAATTTTAAAACGTATGTATTTTTATAAAGAGAAGAGAAAATTATAATTCTCAGTTTGAATATTTTATTTTTAAAGCTTTACAAATGTAAGATGACATCATTATGGAATAGTGAGTTTTAATACAAAACATGTCACCTTCCTAGGATGTGTCTTATCATTAACTTTAGAAGATCCAGCCCAGCTAAGACATCTTGTTCCTTGATCAGTTACTGATGCAAATCCTCGGTAGGACAATCCTTTGCCAATATAGCATTCTGTCAAAAAAATTTTTTTTAAAAATATTTTGTTAGATTTTGCAAAATGTTCAATCAATAACAAAGAATTTGGTGACATTTTTAGTTATTTGATATTAAATAATGTAAACTCAACTATTTTAATTTATTATTAAAATAGCTTTAAGCAATCATTATATACACATCAAAGTAATTGTTAAAGTGGCCCTGATTGATAGGTTAAAAAAGATTCAAATTTTTTGAGAATCCTATTTTATCATGATTATTATCCTTGTTGTATATTCAAGGATCCTACCCTTTACTTTAGAAGTTAGTTCTACTTCAAGCTCATATTGGCAAATGAAATTTATACTGCCAGGCTTCCTGCACAGGTCTGCTTTCCAAAAGAAATAATCAAGAGTTGTTCTGCCATTAGATGTGTCTTTGTACTGATCTGATAATGTGAGACACTCATGTTTCTTTTGGTCAGCTGGTTCTGAATGTAAGTTGTTGTGAGATGGCCAACCTGAAAAATATCAAAGATAATGCTACAGAACATTATGTTACTAAACACAATAGATATGCCTAATGTTGCAGCAAAAAAGTCAGATAGTGTTATAGAACAAATTAGATAAAAAAAAATAAAAAAAAATTGATGTTATGTAAAAAAAATAGATACTATACCATTATTATTAGATAATTCTATATACGTAGCATATGTAAATAGTCATTAATATTCTCCAACATATTTTGATGCTATCAATAAGGCAAGGCTACTCGAGAAAAAAACAGAACTGACCAAGTAGGTTCTCAAGAAGGCACTTCAAATGTAAGGTGACCATTTTATTCAAATGTGAAACCAAAATCTAAAACCAAGTCATTTAAATATGTTTGGTAAAAAAATACAAATTGTTTTGCAATTTACACACGGAGCTCTTCTATCAATGAGCAGGGTTACCACTCACTTTTTTCAAGCTCACCAAAACACTGCCAACATTATAAAAAATGTACCAGTAGTATTAGAGAGTAGGAGAAAAAAAATGGGGTTTAAATTAATTAATGCATTATAGCTTGAATAAATGCCCCAAAAACACAACTTACAGTAACTGACTGAAAGTCATTTATTAGACAATTTTTTAAAAAGGTTTATCACATCTAAGAAATTATTTAGTTTGCTTTTGAAAAAAAAATAATGAGACATATCAAAACACATTGGAGTTAGGAGATTTAACCTTACCACCCATGCTCTGGTCAAATATACACTAAATGTAAGTTCCATTAGTTGCAATTTTCCTTGAATGCGAACCCATCTTGAATACAAATAAAGCAATTTTTTTTTTCCATTGCCAATTTTGAAGTTTTTTGTCTATATGAAGTAGACTATTTGACTATCAGGCTACAAACTGCCTATTCGGGCCCGGGTTTAAGAAGTGAAAGGTTGGGTTTATTAAAAAAATATTTAAAATATTATTGTTGGGTCTGTAAGAGTAAGACAAAATTTGGTATAAAAGGGTCATCCATTAATTATGTCAACAAAATAGGAGGAGGGGGATCGGAAATGTTTGACAGTTGTTGACAAAGGGCAGGGGGTTTAGATTAGTTGGCGTCAACAATCATGTTTTCTCTCTTAAATTAAAATTGACTGGTTATTACATTATTTTTTTTTTTTTTAAATTAATGAGTGTAAATAGTCACATACTTTTTATGTGTCTTGTACAGTCAAGATAAATGATATTGTTAGAGTAGGAATACGATATTTTGAGAATTAGGGGAACGTAAAGTGAGTAACAATAATAACATCGCTGCTTGAACGGATTTGCAAAATCTGTAACATCTATTTTGCATCACAGGTCATGTTGAAAATGCATGTTCCCCAGTACCGACAATGCCTTCTTGAGCATAAGAAATTAATCACCTGGTACTCAAAAAAAAAAAAAAAAAAAAGATTTAACCAATGCTATTCTGTAACATCTATTTTGCATCACAGGTCATGTTGAAAATGCATGTTCCCCAGTACCGACAATGCCTTCTTGAGCATAAGAAATTAATCACCTGGTACTCAAAAAAAAAAAAAGAAAAGATTTAACCAATGCTAGTAGCTGCCAGGCGACAGAGAGAGATTATGCCAATTATTGCTCACACCGTTAATGCTTCTATTTAAAGTTATGAATGGTTAGATGAGGATGATGTTGACTTGATTGGTATATCAGTTCCGCAATATGAAATGATAAATCAGCTGCTATAGACTAGGACCATAAAGGGTGTCTTTTCGGGGAGATTTCAGGAGGGGGGGGGCAAAACCAAAACTTGGTCGGCTTGTTAAATTGTTTATAACTGGAGGCTGGATGCGCCACAGTACATGACAATTTAAATAAAACCTACAAATTCATGGGGGAGCCCAATGCCCCCCGCCCTACCCAAATGATGTCCCTGTTGCACATTATTACGATAGAGCAACATCTGACTACTCCATGGGAAGAGGGTAGCAGCTAGAAACTATACTTAAATCGTCAGCTTTGCTGACAATAATCATATTTATACTTCCACAAACAATGATATTTAGTCTTTATCAACATTTCATGATTCTGCATTATACATTTAAGTGTAAAAACTTCTTAACCTGTTGATTAACAACCTAAACATGTAATGAAATGATTTACCTACAATTTTGCGTCATTAAAATAGATAAGCACAAAGTAAAATGTATCTATAAATTTATTTATATTACAATTCATTTTGGTTTGGGGGGGGGGGGTTAAAATGTAGACATAATTAAATGGGGTGGGTTTACTGAAAGTTTGACAGTTGTTGACTAAGTGTGGGAGGGGGGTCAATAATTGCTTAAAAATTGTCGACGTAATTAATGGACGACCCCAAAATGATTAAATGAAAGATAATTGAATGGACTATATGTGTGTAAACTTACTTCTTCAGTTTAACTAAAATAAACTACAAAAAAATGACAACCGGGTAGCATTTAGTACTAAAGGGACCCGGGTCCAAATAACGGCTATCCGTACATAAATACATACAAACTTCGACAAGTATTATTTGTGATGTTGTTACGGCATATATGTAGGGCTAATTTTAGCCAAAACTACTTGTCTCAATAAGTTTTTTTCTTGAATTTAGCATTACCAATTTAATGTGTAACGCTGTGCCACTACTTTTTGTATCATTCCTTTCCTTGATTGGGAAAAGGCTGTTTACGTTGGAATACATTCTATTTTACGTTTCTATATTTCCGAACATATACGAGACGTTGCATAAGTGGAAGATTGTTTTGTGTTTGTGTAAATTTATATTTGATATTTGTATTTTTAGAGGATTTGCACATTTTCACTTTATGTGTTGTAAATTGAAATAGATATTTTCGTTTCTGAATATTTGAATTTATAGAAATGTAGCAGTAACTAGCTTTGATATATGTGATATGGTTTTCTTTGTATAAACTACTAGATTTCAGTCCTTTGTTACTTATTGTTTATTCTGCAAGCAAAATCTCAAAAGAGATTTAATTTTTAAAAACATAAAGTGGTGCGTAACAGGTGTGCAAAAAGATTTGCTTGCCGTAAAAATATTTGTCATTAAGTTTTATGTTAATAAGGTGGCAACCCTGGGGCAATACTCTTTTAGTTCTAATGTCCAGGGTTTTTCAACTGAGCTAGAAAATCATGAAAGAAATAAACGTTTATGGAATTTTAAATTTACAAAAAAAATCTTAGCATGGTTCACAATCAATGTTCCCTCTAAGGTTTGTTAGTTCGTGTGCAAAATCATACAGTTGTGTGCAAAGTTTTACAGCATCAATTTTTGTGTGTACAAAATTTTAAAGCCCACAAACACAAACATACACTTAAATGGGAATTTGCTCAAAACTGCTGCGCGGCGTCTGTGAGATAGCTGCACGGATGCGCAGCCGCGCAGCCTAAAGGGAGCATTGTTCATAATTCGGTTAAAAATTGGTTGGAATTTACCCGGAAACCACTTGAGTTGGTTGATTGGAGATCTCACAGTTCTAAACAAAGATGGCGAACTTTTTCTGGCCACGTTTCTTTTTCTTGAATTTAGATTTTTTGGCGTCCGCTTTTCCCACTTCCAAACATTTCCAGCTTTCCTTCCGCCGGTGTACCACTGGTGGATATCTAAAACACATTTTAAAATAAGTTTTAAAAAGTAATATCTCCATATGTTTTTTGTGTTGGTTTTAATATATCTTCCTCTCCAGTGTGCAATCTCGTGAAAACGCTTTAAAAAAATGTATAGGCCAACGTTTTCTTTCATATGACAACAATTTAAAATGAAATGAAGCATATGCAATTCCATCTTGTATAAGCAACAAAGTTTTTAAAAAAAAGAAATACATTAAAAAGACAAACTTACCGGGCATTGAATTCTTAAGAATATTGGACAAGAAATGGTTTTCCTCATATGAATCAATATTTACGAGGCTGGCATTCATATCGGCACAATAGTTAGTTGCCTGCTGAAAATTTTTTGCGTTTGTGTAAAATTTATAACATTTTCCAAACCCAGACTGCCATCCATCGGGACAACCTGATAGAATGTAATTAAAATCTTGAACAGAAATTTTTATGCACCAATAGATAAAATAAAAAACAGTAAAACATTTTTTAAAATATATGTTTGTTTGCGTAGGGTCTTAGGAATAACTTATTGAATAATGATGTTTTTTGAGCTGTGAAAATTCTTGAAAGTTCACTAACTTTGCTGATGGTTAGTTCTATACATGAATATGTGGATTATGCGTGCCAATTGAAGTGTCTGAATAGCTGTGTGATCTAGTCCGTCAACACTTAGTGGCCCCACTTCAAAAAAGACATCCCGCTTAGAAGAGACACCCATGGTAGCTGAGAAATACCCGGGTAGAGGTGACAACCCTGGTCGATGGGGTATATCCGGTAGATGGGACATCCCGTGAAGATGTGACACCCATGGCAAATATTGGACACCCTGGTCGGTGGGACGGACCGAGTAGGCTAGTTGGGAGAATCGTCCAACTCAGATCGCGGCTTATCGTTTCGTCCCAGATTTCGTCCCCCACCGAAAGACTCCTTGAGGTTGGGGAGTGGTAACGCTACACCTTCCTTCCAGAGTTGAAGCAAATCCGCCTAGATCCAAGGGAGAGTGGACCGCGAACGCTTTGAACGAAGCGTTTTCAGTCGACCAAACGTCCCCCAGGCCAGGGGGGGGGGAGTTTCCCGGCGTGCCGGTCTGGTGAGGTGACGGGGAAACACGGCGTCGGCCCGTGTGGAGGCGTGCTGTAGGGGGAAGGTATTAAGAGCTTGCTCTCGACGACCCACCTACGCCATTTCCCAAAGGGATATAAAGAAATAAAATCTCCGACTTCAGGCCTTCGGGGATGTCTATACAATTATACCCTCCTGCTTTGCTTGTGGTGATGAATAGTGGCTTACCGAAGCCAAATGGCGCCCATTGCAAGAACTGAAATTACGCTCCGTGAATAATGAAACATTTTTAAATCCTTTATATTAACTTCGCTTTTGTTCATGCGTTTCTATATTTGGGGTAAAATCTTTGGACGGCAAACATACCAACTTTCTGTCATCGTATCGAACTGAAACTTGTCATATAGGCTCGTTGCCGGTGACAACAAATTTTTTCAAATTATCTCCCCCCCCCTCCCCACTCCTTAATCCCAAGCCCCAAAAAATCAGTTTTTCAAGGGAAGATGAATGAAATATGATTTGTTCCATGAGGGCGTGTTTTGGTATAAAGAGTTATTGTAAAGCTTTTGCTATGAGCTTTGTATTCATGAATTATTTCGGTATGGAGTAAAAAAAATAAAAATATAACATAATTTTGAAGGGGAAAATGAAGGATATATGCAACGTTTTATCACCAGAAGTTTACCAATTTACATAGCCACTTCTTTTAAATGATAAATCACGTGCAATGACCTAAACAGAAAACCAAAAAAAATGCACATACATCTAAAGGATGTAAACGAAAAACGTTGTTTTTGGGGGGTTGTTTAATTATTAAAATGTATGGTCAAATTTTATTATGTTGTATTTTTGGACAGAACGGCAAACATATTTGTGTGCTGCGTTTTAACTTATTCGGTACAGGTAAATTAACTTATATGATTACGCAAGCATGAATTATTCGTGTCAATGTAAACATTATTTATCAAACTCTCCTATTGTGCGCTCTCGTTTAAGTGGCGCCCCCCCCCCCACCCCCAAGCATGTGCCGTGGCTTGCCCCACATTTGGGAAGGAACTTCACAACACGTCTCAACTTCTTGAATGGGCCTTACATTTTTATAAGACAAGTCAAAACAGATTTTAAGTTGCCCAATGCTAATTCTGTATGTTCAAAACAATTTCGTAATTTTTGAACTCAAAGTGGATGATGGTAAACATTTTTTTCTACAGAATTTTCAAATGGATGATGGTAAGCAATTTACCTTTAGAATGTTCAAGTGGATGATGGTAAACAATTTACCTTTAGAATTTGCAAGTGGATGATGGTAAACAATTTACCTTTAGAAGGTTCAAGTGGATGATGGTAAAAAATTCACCAAAAGCACTTAATTTCAGTCAATGAGTGAATAAGATAATTTAAAGAAATTTTACTGTGAGTTGACAAAGAAACTTGGTGAAAGCTTTAGATTTAGAATACTTAAATTTGCTGGTGTGTACCCACCTACATTATCAGCACACGTGACAGACGCCACGTCAGTGAGGCCACAGTTATGCTTGGATGTGTACGGACATTCCTGTAGAGTTCGCTCATTGCCTAAACACCGAGTATCGTCCAACAGAATCTCGGCAGTCCAATATTTATCGTGCGGCAACGACTCGTTGGAACCAGTGTGGGCAAGCGCTCCACTGTTTTCAATGTATCAAAGATTTTATTTAAAGATTACTTTGAGATTAATATTTTAACAGTTCAACAATTAAGCTTTAAACATTTAAATTCACTACATCTAAAATCACTCGTTTATAAAAATTTAGTCACCATCTGAGCAGTGGTGTGGGAAGGGAGGGGGCGGATGGACGGCATGTTCTGCCTAAACCTGATTTTTGGAAAAGAGAAGGGGGGGGGGTGGGTCTTCCCCCAACCTCTACCCAGGTTGGAGTTAAGGCTACCTATTTAAATCAATGCACCTCAGAGTGAACTACGAGAACATACCTTGTAAAGCCCAGCTGCCGACAGGCCACCGTTGCGTCCTCCACGTTCCATCTGTGGTCACACACGTACCCCCACTTTCCCGCTCTGTAGACCTCTACCAAGCCAGAGTTTATAAACCCTCTGCTGGATCGAAGGCTGCAAGTATAAAAGGGAAACAAAGCTGGTACAATGATTAAAACTGAATAAGGTAATCACATTACAAGAGAGAAGGGG